GCCAACAGTCACAGTATTAACATCAGAGGAAAGAGATACCACTTTATTCTTCCTTTTGTATCTGACTTATTCATATTTTTTCTTATAAAACTCTCAACATCGCTTCATTGCCAATATCTCTAGCCATATGACAGTTGACAGTTTCCTTCCAACAATTCTACTGCTTAAGAACATTATAACATCAGTATTAGGGAATGGAGGGTGACAAAGTAACCAGTCACACAGCTTCTCTGTATTCGCTTCAACTCGAGTGACTCGTGAGGGTCTCATTTCTTCATACTACTCAGTTGTATGTGAACTAACATTGCAGTAGGCCTACTCCTCAACCTCAGCACTTAAATTCTACAGATGTATCATTCCTACTGTCCATCGGGTGAGCACGGTGTCAGCTATACCACGGGCCCGAATCAAACCTACATAGCTTTTCATTAGGCAAATGAGCACCTTCTCTATAGTCATGTCCGTCCAAACACCCGTCTAGAACTTTTCAGAACGCACAATGGTGCAGTGGCGGATCCAGAGCATACATATATATATATTGTGTATATATATATATATATATATACTGCATGTAATACAGTAGTGCATACACATTGCGTAAAATTATTTGTCAGACTATCTTTGGACAAAGAAATGGTATAAAACTGTCATTTTGGGAACTTAGTTCAAACAAAATGTTCAGTGGGTGCCCCCAGACCCCCCGGTTCGCCACCCCTTGTAACTGTTCTAGATCCGCCACTGCGATGGTGAAGAACCCGTTGGTGTTAAATAACTGGTGTTTATTGAAATCCATCTTGTTTCCTAATTTCAACATATCTTGCAGGTACAGATGCGAACACTTGGCATAGAAGAAGTAATATAGCATGGCAGAACGACAGCAAAGTTAAAACTTGGTTTCACTGTTGCCTCTTCATTATTTATATCAATTCCTCATGATAGTATAAACATTTTAATTACAATAGATTTCTTCCATACAAAAGTAAAAAAAACGTATAATATGTTGTTGAAATGATATAAATTAAATAAATAAATCTTTTATACAATTTTACCCAATTGAATAACTTGAATCTTATAGTACAAACATTTATGTAAGATTTTATGAACCTTGAAGAGGCGTATCTCTAAATGTGTTAGGCCTATAATCACTATTTTGGTCTTAAATTGTGAGTAATTTAAAGCAGTTTTAAAGTAGTTATAGTTGTTTTAATGACAAATAATGATAAAGTTATGCTTAAGGGTTAACGTTAGCCAAACTTTAAGAAAATTCTAAATTTTGTAATTTTAGCCGTTGTTTGCGGAGTCATATCTTGAAAACTGTTTGGCCTGTAATAACCATTTTGGTCTTAAATGATAGGTAATATAATGTACTTTGAAAATGCTTATGGTTGTTCTTTATGAAAAAGTGATGCTTCAGGGTCAAAATTTGAAAAACGTAAAAATAGTGCGAAATTTCGCCGATTTTTAAGCTTTTTGGAGGTGATCCGGAAGGTCGCCGAGGTCGAAAATTTGGATTTATCAACTTGGTACTGTTACAAACAACAACAAAAAAGAAACCTACTACCCCATTTCATGCAAGGTAGACCCTGATTTTTATATAGCTAGAGCTATAAAAATAACAGACACCATAAGTCTAAGAGTATTTTAAATTATCTAAATACATATTGATAAGCTCCGAGGTAAAATGAATGAAAAATATAGTTTATTATTGTAAAATATATATTTATGTAGGCCTATTAAATACGCGTAAACACCAAACATAGATTGTAATATTTAATTCTGTAGTCAACCTATTTGTTATAGAGATTTAAGTACCAGTATTTAAAGGTGGAAAATAATAGGGTATTATTTTTAATGTACCTTTGAAAATCAAGAGAAATGCATTCATATTGCAATTATATGAAGTTGCTGACACGTTACGACCAACATAGAAATTCTCTTTTAAATAACAAGATATGAAATCAATTATAACATATTAGAAATAAAAATAGCCAGAATTGGACACCAGTCGTGGAATTATTTCAGATAGCACTGTTCACATAAAAATCCTTCCAATGTTTTCAGCAACTACATCTAAAAAATATGGTTTTCTAAGTAAACATGCCATGCTAATTATTTTTGTAAACTACACTAATGTCACAAATTTACAGAATAAATCACTAACTGTAAATTTATTTAGGACCACGAACAAATAAGGATCATCAAGTTTCTGCTAGAACGTGAAGTCCTAATACGAGCATGAGCATGAGGTCATGGAACGCACACAAGAACAGTCTCCATGCGTTAAATAGGAAAGAATGTGCCTTCTACTTACTCTAGGACTATAAGGTTTCATGTCTTAAAAGACTATTTCCTGATTAATAGGCCTCTTGTGGTTTAAGTTATCAAACCAGACGTTTAACTTATGTTCTCTAAATTAAACTATGATATATCTTAATTTCTTTATCCAAGATTTTTGACAATATGTGGAATGTTACTTATGGAGTTGTTCCTACTGATATATGTATAGTGTTTTCAATTAAATGAATAATTCAAATCATTACTATATAAAAAAGAGAGCATCACATTTTGTTATATATTTTTTTTAAGTTATAATTAATTATTTACATTACAACCAATCACACCTATACTACACAAAAACTGCACTTTAATTGCCTATCTTTTAAGAATGAAAAACTAGTTTTAAATTTATCAGTAGAATCCCATATAACTTAACTGTGAAAATTATAGAAGTATTTTAAACCCTTATAACATTAAAACCCTTTTTTACAAAATAACTTAAATAACCCTACGACAATAATATAGTAGTTATTTGGTTGTCAGCGTTTACAGTACATTTTAAATTATTTAAACTATCCAAAGAGGTAAAGGACATTTAAAACAACAATTTTTATAACTCAATGATGCAATTGCATAACTGAGCATTTGGTGTGAAAATGAGATCAGTAACCGACGGTGCGAAAGGATAAAGTTTATTGTCCGAATACAACACACGAACTGGATATTCAGAACATTGGTAGTTTCACGTTGAAACTTTAACTTTGATGTACGTTTCTCATTATTTATGTAGTCGTTCATCCAGAAAATATTTTAATAGAAATGAATCTATGTTAATAAATTTACCATTTCACCTTGAGTTAGCATTTAATATTTATTTATATGAATATAGCTTTGTCAAGCAGCACAATGTACAAACAATTGTTATCAAGACAGTAAAAAAGTTAGAGTTATTTAATGTTACTTAAATATGCCTATTTTTTGTGTTTAGTCACTATGCACTGATTCAGTAAGACATAAGACATAAGACATTTATTGATCATTAGGCAATTACATGTAATCAATCTTGTCATGAAAGCTTGAAATTACAATTCAGTCATACAACAGTAAAACATGCTACACAAAAATCAAAATAATATGGGTTCATTCTACAAAACTAAATAAGAGTAGCTAATTTTGAAAAACGGTTACTTGAAAGAGTTGATGTCGAGACTAAGACCTTCACAATGTACAAGAGGTACCAGATCCAAGGCTGTCTTCGGTAGGAGGTTTGAGCCATCGAATTATGTCTACAACAGCGGATTCACTAACTTTTGCGGGTTAGGAGAGACTGCAGCCTCTGTCGACTTCTTCTCCGGCTCACTGACGACAGTTAGAAGCTCCTTCAACCAGCTATATCAGTAATAGTAGTAGTTTCTAGAAAATTATCTTTGTTCCTCTTGATTTTTGTTATAATTTGAATAAGAAAAATATATTTATTTTCTTTTGAACAATACATGCATTTGGAATCGTCAGTTAAGTTACATACAACCGCTATAGCTATGATGTTTGGATGGTACAATGCGATCGAGTTTTGTATGGTACAAAGTAGATATTACATTATCCTCTAAGCCGACGCAAGCCCGAGAATGCACGAGTGTCTAACATAGTAATCCAGCCTGACGAATCATACTTCTATTGACAGACGACCAGCAAGGCGGATGATAAAGCTGGAGCAGCCGGCGAGGGAGCGTGGACGACACAATCAAGAGATCGTCACGGATGTAGGTACGATTTGGATCGGACCCTCGTGTGAAATCTGTGAAGTATAGTGAATAGACCAAATGAAACGAAACAGGGATGAACGAGGAATGTAAAACTATGATAATTATAGCTATAAACTGGCATCTTTGTGATTTCACATCAGTTTTAGAGGTCTACATAGGACCAATGACGTTAGGTGTACGTTTACCCCTTATTATCCATCGTAAATATACTTAATAAAGTAAAAGCTTACCTAATATATTTTTATTATGTTGAAAATTTATTACTTCAGTGTGTTTGTAATATGCGAATTTACGTTGCCAACGCCCCATCTGGTAGTAGAAATGTGATTCAAAGGGGTTCCATTAGTAGTTTCTGAAAGACGATTGCAATATAGTGAAAACTCCTGAATATGTAAAAGTGAAGTAAGTATGTAAAAGACGCTTCCGCTAAGATATCATGTTTGGTAAATAACTTGGCTATGTAAATATAGGGAGTTCTTGCACACTATTTTTTCTTTGAGTGAAGCACTGGTATGGCAGTGCAATTTAGGGTTCTACAGAAAATGTACAAAATGTAAGTTACATCTCTGGTGGCTTTAGTTGATTTTTATACTTTACTTGCCAAATTTATAGCCCATATATTTTTTAGTATATTCTATCGGTTAACCGTAACGTTAATTTACCTTTCATTGCTAATCATTTAACAAGTCCATTTATCGTTCGTAATAAACATTTATTTATATTTATTTATTTGTCTCTGAATCCATTCTATTCTTTTAGTATCGCAAATCTCTCTTAAACTTAAATCACAATGCAAGTCTGTCAAAATGAGGTTTGTAGTCTGCAGTGGGTCTTTTGAAATAATGTTGTGTTCCTTGACCACCGTCATGTATTGTTAATTTGGTACTTTGTCCTCTGAATTGAAGCAGCTTAAACTAAGTAGTAATTACTCATCATAATCATATGTTATTACTGGTAGAATTAGTTTTACTATCATAATAAATTTCATTCCTAGTATTTATGCTCAAACCATTCCTATACTTCCTATACTTTCCTATGCCATAGTTATACTTCGCTGTACCCGACAACGAATGTGGTAACATTCACGGGTTAACACGTTTGTTAAAAAATTAACAAGAAAATGTCCTTCTTCAACAAATTTATACAAGTCCTAGTTGATAAATACTCCTGTACGAAGTTTTGGCTAGTGATCACTTAAAAGTAGGCCTAATATCGGCATAACGTTATTGGAAATTAAGTAGTCTGGTAACACAGAGTACGTGATTTAATTAAAGGCTGAATGCTTTAGTATATCTACAAAACAAAAGGCAAATCTTTCGAAATATTATCATCGATTTGCCCGATAATGTAGTTAATAAAATAACAATTGTTTTTTTTTTGTACAATGTAAGTTAAAAAGATATGGTATTCCTTATCAATAAGTTTTTCGTTCACACTAATCCTTAAGTGTGAATTTTGTATTACTACTTGTAGGGTTATTATGTAATATATTTTATTTTTCTACCTTTAAAAGGTTACATAACAATTGAATTTATTAATTCAATTCAAGTTTGAAAACTATAAAACAAAATTGTCTACTTACATTGAATACCCGATGATGAATACTAGGATAAAATTTTAAAATATGACTTTGCTATTCGTGTTAACCATTAAAGTAACAGTTAAAAAAAAAAAACTATCTATACCATAGGATCTATATTATAGTCGGGATAAAGAGTTGTTCCCCAGACTGTAAAAGTTCTCGACTTCACCAGATTTATGCCCTTTCTGTCAATAACTGTGCGCCACCACTCCCAGATTAGACCAGTACATTCCCTGGCAAACACGTTGATGTCGCAAGCGTTACCAGGCAGTTCAATCTCCTCGCTGAAATAAGCTGACAAAGAATTCCAGTTCTTGGACCATTCGACGTTCTTAGAAACCTTGTTTCCATTCTTGTCGTAGTTCACCTCCTTCCAAGTGATGGCCCACTGCATTACGAATGCCCCCTTGTGGACAACCTTAAGTATACCCCTGGTTGTTACAGTGTTGGTGGTTTCGATGTATTCAGTAGACATGTGCACGACAGCTCTGGAGTTCTCTTTGATGAAGTTTGCCGAGTAGGAGATGGGATATCCCAAGTTATCGCTGGAGAACTTTGCGTATTTTACAATAACGTTGTTAACATCATTGAAGGTCCGGGCGTTTATCAAATCAATTTGCTCAGGGCTTCCACCAAGGACGAACACTTGCATCGTCAAGTCCTTCAACTTACTCATGATTTTGGATGCAGATTCAGTGTTAAAGTCGTAAAGAAACTGTCCATTGGTAGCCAGAGTGTCTTTGATCTCTTTATCAATCGAGGATGTCTCTAATTTGACGTATATTGTCCTGCCGTAAGAGACACTGTCCACCATAACTGGAGGGTCGGTGTTATTTGTCCTTTGTTTCAGTTCTGCAGCAGTCACTGATCGTGCAAAACAATCTGAGGGCTTCTCAGTAGGCGCTACACTAACAGTGTAATATATTTGTTTGAACTTGTGGATCATGATGAGTTTTTCTTGGTTTTGCATAGCACTAAAATCAACATTAGCTTCAACTGGGCTGTTCTTGAACTCCAAACCGAATTTCACTCTCAGATATTCCTGGCTGTAAGCAAACCTGTATTCACTTTGGAAGTTGGCAACAACGCTGTGGTCCTTTGAGTACTTATCAAACCATGTGTCCAGGGTCTTCTCTTTAAATGATTGGTAGTTGGCGAAGGTTGGCTCAATGGAGAAGTGGCCGTCACTGGTCAATCCTGGCAGATTTACGGTGTAAGTCAAGGGAGCACGAGCAGCTGCCAAGACATCTGGGTTGTTGTCCACGAGTCTCTGGTTGGCCAGCAGCAACGATCCAGGATAAGTTCTGTGTTCATTGACAGAAACTATTCCAATGTTAGACACTTGACTTTGTTCAGATTTCTTCTCCCTTGTAGTGACGATATAGTTATTTTTGTCATCAATCTTGTTTTCTATTCTTGTTGGAACTTTGAGGTTTGTTTCTCCAATGTAGTCCAATATTAGGTCACGAGAATAGTTCATTCCGTTAATGTAGTTGTTGACGTCGACGTCGTTGTTGGTCCCTTTTGCGACACTGTATGCACAGAAGGCTGCGACCGCAACGCTTACAAAGAGAAGTGCCAGGCTGACTTTTATTACCAAAAGTTTTACCTAGGGAAAAGGAAAGTGTTAGTAAACAGTTTTAAAAGAAACAAGTATTTACTGTACACTAAGAGGAAATGAATACAACGTAACGTATATATATATATATATACGACATGAGCTTCTCAAATATAGTATATGTTAAAGAATAGTTTATGTGACACAATTACTAGCCAAAGCCAATATATTTGAATTATTATTTAAGTTTATGCACCCTTATTCACAGGTTCTCATTCTTCGTCAAATCCCAGGTCCTTGAGAATCTTTTGACAATGGTAAACTGTTCTTCATTTTGATCCCCAGTCTATAGGCCAAAGGATCTCATACGCAGACCTTGTAGGGCTGGGTACATAATATCACATGGAAGGATGTCTCCTCCTCCTCTCCACATTTCCTACATAAGAGGCTTTCAACTTGAATTCCCATCTTGTGAAGATATCCGTGGATTATCCAATGGCCGCTGATGAAGCCAACCACCTTCTGCAGGGTCTTCCTATTCAGCACAAGGGCATCTGCCACTAATCGCACCAGTAGATGTTTACAGCATTCTCTTTGACTGTACGTTGCCAGTCTTTCATTCAGAGTCCCTTCGATATTCTATGCCCATCTACTGGCGAACAGCTCTCCTTTCTGTTTTGTAAGCTTACTGCTACAGGTTTACTGCAGCAGGTTTACTGCAGCGGGCTTACTGCTAAAATTTTACTGCCTCAGAATTACTTTGGTAAGTTTTCTGCTACAGGTTTACTGCTACAGTTTACCGCGGCAGGTATACTATGGCAAGTTTACTGCTACAGGGTTACTGCGGCAAGTTTACTGCTCCAGGTGCTACAGTTTTACTAGTACATGGTTACTGCTACAGGTTTACTGCTACAGGTGCTACAGGTTTACTGGTACATGGTTACTGCTACAGGATTACCGTGGCAGGGTTACTGCTGAAGGTTTACTGCAGCGGGTTTACTGCAGCGGGATTACTGCAACAGGTTTCTTGCTACAGGTTTACTGCTACAGGTTTACTTCCACAGGTGCTAAAGGTTTACTGCCACAGGTTTAGTGCTTCAGGTTTACTGCTACATGTAATAAAGGTTTACTGACACAGGCTTAGTGCTACTGGTTTTCTACTACCAATCTACTGCTACGGGTTTACTGCGGAATGTTTACTGCTACGAGTTTACTGCTACAGGTTTACTGCGGCAGGTTTGCTGCAGGTTTACTGTGTCAGGTTCACTGTAGCACCTTTACTAAGGCAGGTTTGTGGTGGCAGGAGGTTCACTATGAGAGGTTTACTGCGGCAGGTTTACTGTGGCTGGTTTACAGCAGCAGGTTTACTACAGCAGGTTTACTGCGGAAGGTTCACTGCAACAGGTTTACTACAGCAGGTTTACTGCGAAAGGTTCACTGCAGCAGGTTCACTATGAGAGGTTTACTGCGGCAGGTTTACTGTGGCTGGTTTACTAAGACACGTTTACTGAGGCAGATTTACAGCAGCAGGTTTACTACAGCAGGTTTACTGCGGAAGGTTCACTGCAGCAGGTTCACTATGAGAGGTTTACTGCGGCAGGTTTACTGTGGCTGGTTTACTGCGGAAGGTTCACTGCAGCAGGTTCACTATGAGAGGTTTACTGCGGCAGGTTTACTGTGGCTGGTTTACTAAGACACGTTTACTGAGGCAGATTTACAGCAGCAGGTTTACTACAGCAGGTTTACTGCGGAAGGTTCACTGCAGCAGGTTCACTATGAGAGGTTTACTGCGGCAGGTTTACTGTGGCTGGTTTACTAAGACACGTTTACTGAGGCAGATTTACAGCAGCAGGTTTACTATAGCAGGTTTACTGCGGAAGGTTCACTGCAACAGGTTTACTACAGCAGGTTTACTGCGAAAGGTTCACTGCAGCAGGTTCACTATGAGAGGTTTACTGCGGCAGGTTTACTGTGGCTGGTTTACTAAGACACGTTTACTGAGGCAGATTTACAGCAGCAGGTTTACTACAGCAGGTTTACTGCGGGAGGTTCACTGCAGCAGGTTTACTATGACAGGTTTACTGTGGCTGATTTACTAAGACAGGTTAACTGCGGCAGGTTTGCTGTAGCTGGTTTACTGAGGTATGGGCATTTCGCTTATTTAATCGCATGTAAAGTGTCCATGGATAAAAATATTAATAAACATATCACATCTCTTATTACATACGAAATATAGATGATGAAACATAACATTATATTATTTTATTCAAACTCTTACCTACTTGTGACAAAACACTGTTTTAATAACAAAACATGTAGACTAAATCAAAGTCACGAGACCTTACCGTCAGACCGTCACCGCCCACCACCGCGCTGTGCAGAACGCATCATACCGTGCTTAGCCGAACTGTTCGTGGGAAATTGTTATCTCTATCACTGTCGCTGGCAAAACGTGTCGATTGTAGGTTAAATTTAAATTAATTTATCTGTCATAACCTAACCAAACCAACCAAACTTGCTGATAATGAAAATATCGAGTCAAAAAGTTAATGCCTCCGGTGGGTTTCGAACCGGATACCTCCAAAATATCTGACCGGTGCGCTATCCACTGGACCACCGCGACATTCGGCTACTTAACGTATCGTTGCGGTAATGGTGTTCGCTCGAGCAGTGGTGTGCGGTGGCGGTCTGTCGGCAAGGGTTAATAATCAACCCAATCGAATTAAATTGATTTGCACTTATATACAAACAAAATAGAAAATTTACAAAAATAAAATAGAAGATCTAGAGGCCTTACATAAATTGTGTAAAATACGTCGCCACTTGTACTGTACGTCGGGAGTTAGGGATGGTTGTTGTAAATAACAAACACTGAATACATTTTAACTGCTTAGAGGGCCGCAAAGGGTACGTGGTGTTTACTGGGCTAAGACATGGTGTAGATTGACGTGAGGGAGGGGATTTAGGCTGTGTTCGGAAAGGTGGTGTGATGGTGGTGTGATGTGTGACGTCATGGGAATAGCCATGAGCTCCTTGATTTGAAACATCACCTGTTTTAACATATTGTCAACATAAACAGTGATTGTGGTAACATTATGGTACGAGAGTCATGCTATGGTATCATCATGGTAAAAAGTAATCAGGATATGGTATACATTGTTTATAAGAATATGAGGAAAAGTGAAATTTAAAAGTGTTTAATAGTGTAAACTTAAATACTAATTGAAATATAATGGCTTTGGCTAGTAATTATGTCATATAAAATATTCTTTGACATTCACTATATTTGAGAAGCATGTGTCATAGGTCTCTCCCCCACTATACGATTTCGGTCGTACGACAATGTGTTGTGCGATATTCTTATCGTATGTGTGGTCATCGCCCACTTTACGACACTTTATCGGATAAATGACCAGTTGCTCGGTAGCCCTGGAAGAGTGAGTGTTTGTTGCGCAATATCTTAAAACAGTGGTTCTGTATCAAATGGTATCCGTTACGTGTTGTTGCAACGTGGCTGCTGTGCACATATTAAGCGATAGTGGCCAATGTAGGTCTACAGCATTAAATAAATAATTATTTTTATGTGCAGATTATTTCTTAGGTTAATGTATTTAAAGACATTTTCAAATTATATAAGTCCATGCCTTTTACAAGTTTTTAAATTTACCATAACTATAATAGGTTTTTGGTATAGTCTGGTGAAAAGTTTGTATGTTCCAATTTTTTTATTAGTTTTTAAATATTGATGATTTAATTTTACCAATATAAAATATTTAGGTATTGGTGTATTAGGTATATAGAATATTCTGAAAAAGGAATATTTAGGTATTGGTGAAACTATTTAACACAAAATAATTAATAATAATGATTAGAAAATAATAAATAATAACCAAACTCGCATTGTTTCAATAATTATTTTGGTATATTTACTCATAAGTGATGCAGTATATAAACATATTATAAAGAATAGGATGTATAGAAATATAACCTGCTACTTGAACCAGTAGTGTTAAAATTTCTTTAATAGTTACAAGCTAACATGAAATTATAATTTTTAGTCTAGAATTTCATATAAAACATGGTATTTCGCCTGAACTGTACATCTGATGATATTTCCTTAACATCTGGAAGTTTTTGAACGATGGATATTATTACAAAAAATGATTATTAATATAACTTGTCCTACTAAGAAGAAGGCAAGTTATCGTTGATCTGCTAAACTGCGTAGATTCAAACTATTATTTATTCCAAATAGTAAATTATTATGCTATTTTAGGCCTAAGTGTAAAAAATTGACGATAAAGTAATAGCTTTACTTAATTTGAGTAGTGTCAGGTAATTTAGTAGCTATTGGTAAAGCTTCTCGTAATGTATTTATGTGTAATAGTTTGACATAACGTTATGAGTATTTTCACCTTAAACAAAAAAACAGGTTAAAAACTTGAAAAAAAAATAGCCGTATGGGCAAGTTGATAGAGTGGGAACGAACTTGTTCTTTTAGGTCTTTACAATATTTTGCGCATTACAAAATTTTTGGGTTTTTCTTAATTTATTAATAAAGTTTTGTTAACTCCTCCTCAGCATGGCAAGGCATATTGCAGTCTTGGGTTGATTAAAACAAAGCATTATGTTTTAAAATTGATTAAATAACAGAAGTTACTTATGAGTCACATTTTTGTATTTGTTTGCGTTCCTTTGCATGACAATTTTATATCTGATGTTTAAAAGTGATTTGTTTCATTGAGCAAAACGCAGAATATTGTATGTATTTTACTTTTTCTAAAGGTCGGAAGGTACATAATTGTGGACTGCACATTGAGGAATGAAGGTTTAAGAGGGGTGTCGTAGTGAGAATGTAAGATTTTATGAAGTTTAGTATAATTAATTGTATTACATTTATCCTTATAATTCATAATATTTTAAAAGAGATATTGTATTTATAAAAAAGATAGTTTGTTTACATATTGTATCACTTTACTCGAGTGGCGGATCTGAGGTCGCATACCTACTTTATCGACATTAGGATATTGACTAGTGAATATTATTGTGTCAACTTTACCCATTCAACTTCAGAGATGCTCTGGGTTAAGTTATCTTTTTCCTTAAGAAGTCGTTCCATTTCTTCTTTTGTGTTTTGATTCTCTTTCTACATTAGTTTCAATCGTATGTTGAAATTATCGACAGAGTTTTGAATGTTGTATGATCTAAATTTGTTACCGATATGCATGAGAGATTCACTAGACTTCGTTGATACAGTCATTGTTCATTGCTTCAATGATTAAACATGGCGGACAGTTCCTTTGACCCCACCACTTGCCTCATAGAACATCAAGCTACAGCCACCACACTTAATGTTTCATGGTAGTTTTAAGTTCCCCCACAATTGACAAAACACAGTCCGCACACTATCCCCACTGATAATCTCAGTGAATTAGCTTTAAAAATTTGTTAACCATATCAACGCACTTTTACTTAAGACTAATAAGCCGATACGTAGGTTAAGGCCGGTCAGATACAAGTGGGACTCAGTCAACGAAGCGTTACAACAGTTTGTCCCAATCCACAAACAGATAATACTTAGATAAGACGGAGAAACTAAATAGAGAAGTTCTATCACAAAATAGGGAGTCAAGTCTACTCTTTGGTGGTTTTATCAAACTGAGTCATGTGAAGGTCGAGTGTATCTTAAGATAATTCTCGTGGAATGGGTGTAATAAGTTGAGTGGATGTGTCACTGATAAACGTTAACTTTTTTTTATCTAAGAATAGTTCATTATTGATTCATTGTCACGAACAACTAGATATAAAATTTCAAATTTTATATTTGTGTCAAAAACCAATCCGATTGTTGAGCAAATTATATAAAATATCTAATTATGATATATTTATATCGATAATATATCTATCGATATGTTACATTTGCTTATACGATAGGTTAAAGCTGTTATAGATGTTAAATGGGCATTTTTATAACAACAAATAGTAATGTACGAAACTATGTATTGAATGGTGATAAAACAGTAACCGGTTGGCTGATATCACAACAGAGCACAGATTAACTGAAGTTTTGCTGCGTGTTTTCTTTGTACCGAATTAGGCTCTAATCAATCTTATCTGATCAAAATGCGCAGTGCAATTGTTTCAAACTAATAAAGTTGTATTAAATTAGATATATTATCATTATTCGCAACATATTTAGCTAGATGTCAAACTTATGCGGACGAGTCTTAAACCGCACACATCAAAAGCACACACAAGAAACAACAACAAAACTAGCGATAAGATGGGTTTGTTGTTGAAACTGTAGGCTCCTACACTGTTTTTATGACCGGATAGCAAGAAAACAATATTATACCATGTTCTCACTCCTTCTGTAGTGTTTGTAGATGAGTGTTATAAGTCAAATAAGAGTCCATCGTCAACACGAGATATTGATCTCACTTCTTTTAAGGAATTTTAGAAATCAGTAAGTCATTTAATTATAATTAATCACCAGTTTTGTATTAGCAGCTTGGTTCTAATCTGAACCTGTGTTATGTGTGTGAATTTGTGCTAGTATACTATAGAGCAATGGCATCGGCTGCTACAAACTCCATCGAGAAAGGAAATCGAGGATAAGTATCATAACCTGCACATCAAAAAGCAAAAAGCGTTAAGGTACAGAAAATTATTTCTGTGGTTAAGGTGAGTACCGATATCAGCTGCAGCCCTACCTTGAGTTGACTAAAGGTCATGTGAGTAAGCGTAGCTAACGAACTTCAAACAGGACGTGATTGAGCGATGCGAACGAGCTCGTCTTGAAAACGAACGAGCATTTAACATAAAACCACATTGGGACAGGACGTCTGTCGGACCATCTAGTTGTTTATAAAACTATGATAAAGTGTTTTACATAGTGGAGAATTTAAAAGTTGTTGAGTAAACAGGTGTGCTGCAATCGAGGATTAATATTTTTGGACATATCCAAATGTAAAATAATTTCTGTACTACACATTCTAAAGAAACATTGTGGCACTATTTCAAATCAAGGCTAATACAGAATGTTGTGAATATTCAAATCCACAAAACCGTTGGTGAAAGTAAACATCTGCTTTGATAAAAATTGTATTTCTTTGTAAACATTGTAGTCTTAAAAGTCTGACATTGGAGAGCCCTTTTTACGGATCTGCACAAATCTTTACACAAACCACCCTTGAATAATGCTTAATAATGCCTAAAAGTTTCATCACAATCTGTCGACCGGTTTAGGATTCCATAGGGTATATAAATACATACTTCCTCTTTTATAGTAAAAAAAAAACATTATATGGATTAAATATGCATACATTACATTAATACATTATTTTATTTTTATTTTAATATTTTCTATGATATTTTAGTGATATCGCAGACCAGCATCACTCTAAAATTAATAATATGTATCTTGATAAATCTTCGGAATATTTAATAAAACTGAAACAAATCAAGAATAACCAACCCGATTTAAATTAAACTTAACCAAAAGTAAAAGTATTTAGTCAAGTATTTGCAAGAGTGAGGGCTTATCAAAAATGATCTTTGCACTCAAAGGATCCTTCGTCCAGATGATATTCGTGTTCACATATTAGACTACGTTCTAAACGATATAAGCGCCTTAAAATAAGAAAAAAATAGCAAAACCTAGAAATAATTAGAACACAGATGGAACCATTGTTATTCGATAGTGAAAGGTATTGTGAATAACATATCAAAAGTCTCCAAAAATATCTTTGGTGGAACACCACCTTTTTTCCAAAATGGCGGCCGAATCCGGTAGTGTTTTGCTTTTTATTGAAATTCTGACTTTCCAGTCAATATTGGTGAAAAGTCGTAAATACATTTTATTTTCCTCCTGAAATTACCTTTAAAATAATACCAAATACATGTACCTACAACCAAAAATAAACCCTGTAGAAATAATAAAATATTTCAAATAATATTTTTTTTTTATAAATTAACGTAATAGTCCAAGCAAACTAAAATTTCTGACATAGGGTTCGTGTAAAAATTGCAAGTAAATGTGTTATGGTTTTATTTTTATTGTTGGGTGTGCAGAGTGACATACTTAAAGTTGCCAAAAATCAGTCCTCGGGAAACCCGTGAAATAATGATAAAAGATGGCGGCTTTTCCCAACATTGGACAAATTTTGAAAAAGATGCAACATGCTTTTTTGCAAATTGTTTCGAGATATTAAGTTAGGACCACCACCAATATTTATTGGGTAGTCAGTACTTCATTTCGATGGGGAACGCGTTTTTGGCCACCATCTTGGATCCGCCATATTAAATATAATATTTTTTATTGTAATTATAGTATTGTGACACATCATTATGAACTAGATTTCTACGCTGATTTCAATGCTTAAATCCGTTTTTAAATAAGTTTTTTCGTATCTTACGATATATTAAAACGTAAACTCTCCCCTGTACATTACTTATGTACATATCGTACTTTGAAAATGTGTTTAGATTATTTTCATCCAGGTCTTATTAATTGCAGTTCGTTCTAGCCTTAAAATATTCAGTGATCTAACAGTATTTTTCTCCAGGCCTTATTGATGCTTGCAGTTCGTTATAGCCTTAAAATATTCAGTGATGTAAGAGCTTTAATTTTAGCTATTTATAGTTAAAACAGACTATTTGGAGACGAGGTAAAAACCCCAACACAATATTAAATTACCCTTTATTTAAATCAGTTTTTGTTAAAAGATTTATAAGAATAAGAATAAGAATAAGAAATTTATTGACCATTAAGTAAATACATTGTTTACAATAGATCTCGTCAAATTAGTCTAAACAAGTGTCAGGCTTTAAAGCTAAATACTATTTTCTATTTAAAGCTATGTAGGATGACAGCATATTCAAATAACTATTTCAGAATTTAAAAACTCATCAATATGGTACATTGGGTTTTCTAAGAGCCATTTATACAGAATTTCAAAGAATACCTTATCACTAGTAATATCTACAACGTAGTTTGGCAGTTTATTGTAAAGCTTTAAACCCAGAGTGTGATGATACTTTTGTGTTCTTGTCAATCTACATCTAGATATGTCAATTTTATTCCTAAACCTAGTAAAGTGATCATGAACATCAGTCCTAGACATATATTTATCAATATCTTTTCTCACTAGCCTTATAACTTCATAAATGTAAAGATTGATTACAGTCAAAATCCCTGTTTGCACAAACAAAGGCCTACAATGTGCCGGGAAAGATGAACCAGTTATAAGTCTAACTGCTTTTTTCTGTAATATCAAGACATCATCGATACTAATGCCATTACCCCAGACGACCAAACCATACCTCAATATACTTTCAAAGAATGCATAATAAGCCATCTTTAAATAAACATCAGGTAAAATTTGTCTTAACCTACACAATAAACATATTACTCTTGATAATTTTTTATAAATTAATTCAATGTGATTCTTCCATGACAATTTACTGTCAATAGAAATTCCCAACAGTGTTACACTACTTTCCAGGTTTTGATTTGGTCTGTTATTAGTCATAGACACAAGCATGTTTTTTAGTTTTCTCTTCATTCATAAAAAGCCCGTTGACAGTAAACCAATACACAGCTCTTTCAAAACTATCTTTGACCATATTACTTAGTACATCAAGGTTATTATGATAAGAGACCAATGATGTATCATCTGCATATACAGTAGAAAAACAGTCCAGATTAAAGCTAACATCATTAATCAATATCAAAAATAAAATGGGCCCCAATATTGACCCCTGTGGTACACCATGCTTGACCTCTGAAACTTTAGAAATATTTCCCCTAATATCTACCAACTGAGATCTGCCTGTTAAATATGACTTGAAAAAATTTAGTTCACAATCTCTAACACCATAGAATTCAAGTTTCTTAAAAAGAACATCATGTGAGACACAGTCAAATGCCTTACTCAAATCACATAATGTGATTTGAGCAAGGCACCTACTTTCCAAAGCTAAATGCAATTCAGCGACAAGCCTGTCAACCGCCATCACTGTGGATCTACCATGTCTGTAACCATATTGGTTGTCATTGAATAGGCTGTACTCAGTAAAATAATCACATAAATGAAGTTTGACAATTTTTTCCAAAACTTTGGCAAAGACAGGAATGCATGAAATAGCTAGCAGGTACATTGGGGTTACCCTTTTTAAAAATAGGAACAACTCTAGCAAACTCGGGTTGTTAATATGTCAACAAGTTTGTTCTGGTATCAAAGTACTCACATATACCATTTTTTTTTTCATCACCCCTCTTTTGGCATTTACACTTACTGCCACAACCAGAATGGCGTTTTCAGTGGATGAGCTTTAATAGAGAAGGTAGTGCTGGTATAAAGGGCATATGCACCATCAGTCAAACACCAACCCCAATCTGTTGGTTCTGCTGGTGAACTATTTCCACGCCATACTTGAACCTGATGGTACACCCTTAGGCTGTGGTAGTTTTCAATGTGTGTTTAAATTGTCAAAGTACGAAACGCCCATAAGCAATGTGTGGGGGAGAATGTTCGTTTGTATATGTCTTAAAATAGAAAATAGAAAATATATAATTAAAAACGGATTTCAGAATTGA